TAGCTAGGATCGTCCAGCACTCTTTCCCCACATGTTTGAAGGATATGCTGAAGAAGAGGGTCTGAAAGGGACTTTCTTGCCACCATTTGTTGCCTTGTACTTTGGCTTTCTTTTCTTCCTGGCATTGGTACCATCTGAGGTATATTTATTATGTATATCTCTTACTAGACCCTAGTAAGCTTCATGGGATATGATGTAAGTTCCATGAGATCAGGAACTTTATTCTGTCCAGCTCCTAAAAGAAGGTCGGGCACATCACAGGTCTTTACTCAATATTTGATGAATGGATTTGTTCATGAAAGGCAATGTGAGATGCCTCCTAAGATGTGGAAGTTTAGATGTCACCATGGCTCTTGAGTCAAGAACAAAACCAAAAAGCAGACTATTCACATAAAAAGAAATGTAAAAGAATAAGGCCAGGCACGGTGGCTCATACCTATAATCCCAGCACTTTGGGAGGCTGAGGCAGGTGGATCACCTGAGGTCAGGAGTTTGAGACCAGCCTAGCCAACATGGTGAAACCCTGTCTCTAAAAATATAAAACATTAGCTGGGCATGGTGTTGGGCACCTTTAATCCCAGCTACTCACGAGGCTGAAGCAAGAGAATCACTTGAACCTGGGAGGCGGAGGTTGCAGTAAGCTGAGATTGCATCATTGCACTCCAGCCTGGGCAACAAGAGTGAAATTCCATCTCAAAAAAAAAAAAAAAAGAATGAATGGGATGTGGAGAACAGAAGGGGGAAAAAAAAAGGAACAGAGGTAGTCATTCCAAAGTTCTCAATCTGGTGCATAAGAAAATGATTCCTATTTGTTGCAGGTGAAAATGTTTGATGTGCCGGCTCCTTTACCTCAAAGTTACACTAAGAAGAAATCTAAAAATTGGGATCAAAGATGCAGCTGCTTTCCCATTTAAGCAGCACAGACAGCCCAAAGTGACAGTTTTCCTGTACAGTTACTCTTCTGTTATCTGTAACTGATCTATGACATTTTGGGAAAAGACAGCCAAAAAAAATTAGAACTGAGGTAGGTGTGCCTGATTCCTTTCGCAATTCTGCTCATGACTGAACCGACAGAACACAGACAGAGGTGAAACCTGCACAGCTGTGAACGTCTACAAAAGGGGGCTGTTCACATGCAAGATTCTGAAAGGAATTTCTGCTCAATAGAGTTAGTGGAATCACACTGACAAGAACGAGGGCTTTCTGGGAGTCTGGCTCTGGATCTCTTGAACATACTCTACTTTGGAGGTATGAGAGGTAAAGGTAAGAGAAGTAAGGCAGACTGGGAACTGTTCCCTGAGTGCCCCTAGCCACTGCGGCTTGGGGACACTAGTGAGGCTAGCAGTGATTGAGGCCTGACTCTCCAAGGACAGCACTGGCCCTGGCGGGTGAGTGGCAGCCCTGCACAGGGTCTGGCCATACCTGCCTCAGGGGAGACCACCTACATCATCTATAGCTTGGCTCCCTCCCTGCTCTCAGGCTGCTGAGCCATGGAATCTGTTTTCTTTGTCCCAGTTTAAAGTCCTCAAGGAGAATGCCAGTAGCATTCATAGTAAGTGCTGGGATAAGAATCATCTCCCTCAGTCTCCTTTAGAGTCTGTTCTCATGTTACTAATAAAGACATACCCGAGACTGGGTAATTTATAAAGGAAAGAGGTTTAATTGACTCACAGTTCAGCATGGGGGCTGGGGAATTTATAAAGAGGTTTAATTGACTCACAGTTCGGCATGGCTGGGAAGGCCTCGGGAAACTTAAAATCGTGGTGGAAGGGGAAGCACATATGTCCTTCTTCACATGGCAGCAGCAAGGAGAAGTGCTAAGCAAAAGGGAGAAAAGCCCCTTATAAAACCGTCAGATTGGTCAGGTATAGTGGCTCACGCCTGTAATCCTAGCACTTTGGGAGGCCAAGGCAGGTAAATCATCTGACGTCAGAAGTTCAAGACCAGCCTAGCCAACATGGTGAAACCCTGTCTCTACTAAAAATACAAAAAAGAAAAAAAAAAAAAAGCCAGGCTTGGTGGCGGGCACCTGTAATCCCAGCTACTCAGGTGGCTGAGGCAGGAGATGAACCAGGCAGATGAAGGTTGCAGTGAGCTGAGACCATGCCACTGCACTCCAACCTGGGCGACAGAGTAACTCCATCTTAAAAAAATAAAATATCGGCCGGGTGCGGTGGCTCAAGCCTGTAATCCCAGCACTTTGGGAGGCTGAGGCGGGTGGATCACGAGGTCAAGAGATCAAGACCATCCTGGTCAACATGGTGAAACCCCGTCTCTACTAAAAATACAAAAAACTAGCTGGGCATGGTGGCGCGTGCCTGTAATCCCAGCTACTTAGGAGGCTGAGACAGGAGAATTGCCTGAGCCCAGGAGGCGGAGGTTGCGGTGAGCCAAGATCGCGCCATTGTACTCCAGCCTGGGTAACAAGAGCGAAACTCCGTCTCAAAAAAAAAAAAAAAAAGAAAAATCAGATTTTATGAGAATTCACTATCATGAGAACAGTATGAGGGTAACTGCTCCCATGATTCAATTACTGCCCATCGGGTCCTTCCCATGACACGTGGGGATTATGGGAACTGTAATTCAAGATGAGATTTGGGTGGGGACCACAGTCAAACTGTATCATTCTGCCCTTGGTCCCTCTAAAATCTCATGTCCTCACATTTCAAAACACAATCATGCCTTCCTAACAGTCCCCCAAAGTCTTAACTCATTCCAGCATTAACTCAAAAGTCCAAGTCCAAAGTCTCATCTGAAACAAGGCAGGTCCCTTCCACTTAAAAGCCTGTAAAATCAAAGCAAGTTGGGTACTTCCTAGATACAATGGGGGTACAGGCATTGGGTAAACACACCTGTTCCAAATGGAAGAAATTGGCCAAAACAAAGGGGCTACAGACCCAGTGCAAGTCCCAAATCCAGCGGGGTAGCCAAATCTTAAAGCTCTAAAATAATCTCCTTTGACTCCATGTCTCATACCCAGGTCACACTGATGCAAGAGGTGCGCTCCCATGGTCTTGGGCAGCTTAATCCCCGTGGCTTTGCAAGGTACAGCGCCATTCCTGGCTGCTTTCACAAGCTGGCATTGAGTGTCTGCAGCTTTTCTGGGTGCACAGTACTAGCTGTCTGTGGATCTACCATTCTGGGGCTGGTGGGCGGTGGCCCTCTTCTCACAGCTCCACTAGCAGTGCCCCAGTGGGGACTCTGTGGGAGGGCTCTGACCCCACATTTCCCTTCTGCATTGCACTAGCAGAAGGGAACCTCCATGATGGCTCTGCCCCTGGAAATCTACACCTCTGCCTGGAAATCCAGGCATTTCCATTCATCTCCTGAAATCTAGGTGGTTCCCAAACCTCACTTATTGACCCACAGGCCCAACACCATGTGAGAGATGCCAAGGCTTGGGGCTTGCACCCTATGAAGCAACAGCCTGAACTGTATGTTGGCCCCTTTTAGCCATGGCCAGCTGGAGCAGCTAGGAAGGAAGACACAAAGTTCCAAGGCTGCACACAGCAGCGGGGCTCTGGACCCAGCCCAGGAAACCATTTTTCCCTCCTAGGCCTCTGGGCCTGTGATGGGAGAGGCTGCCATGAAGACCTCTGTCATGCCCTGGAGACATTTTCCCCATTGTCTTGGTGATTAACATTTGGCTCTTTGTTACTTGTGCAAACTTCTGCAGCTCGCTTGAATTTCTCACCTGAAAATGGAGTTTTGTTTTCTATGACGTCGTCAGGCTGCAAAATTTCCAAACTTTCATGCTCTGCTTCCTTTTGAATGCTTTTCTGCTTAGAAATTTCTTCTACCAGTTATCCTAAATTGTCTCTCTCAAGTTCAGAGTTCCACAGATCTCTAGGGCACAGGCCAAATGCCACCAGTCTCTTTGCATAGCAGGAGTGACCTTTACTCCAGTTCCCAACAAGCTCCTCATCCCCACCTGAGACCACCGCAGCCTGGACTTCACTGTCTGTATCACTGTCAGCACTTTGGTCAAAGTCATTCAGCAAGTCTCTAGGAAGTTCAAACTGTCCCACATTTCTCTGTCTTCTGAGCCCTCCCTTTGGTTCCAATCTCTGCCTGTTACCTAGTTCCAAAGTTGCTTTCATATTCTTGGGTTTACAGCAGCGCCCCACTCTCTGCAGTGCCAATTTGCTGCTCTCACACTGCTAATAAAGACATACCTGAGACTGGGTAATTTATAAAGGAAAGAGGTTTGACTCACAGTTCAGCATGGCTGGCGAGGCCTCCGGAAACTTATAATCATGGTGTAAGGGGAAGCAAACACGTCCTTCACACCATGGCAGCAAGGAGAAGTGCTGAGCAAAAAGGGGAAAAGCCATTTAAAACCATCAAATCTCATGAGAACTCACTATCACTAGAACAGCATGAGGGTAACTGTCACCATGATTCAATTACCTTCCACCAGGTCCCTCCCATGACAAGTGGGAATTATGGAAACTACAAATCAAGCTGAGATTTGAGTGAGGACGCGGCAAAACCATGTCAGGGGGCAAAATGAATCTAAGGTTTGGGTAAAATTCTCATTGTACAAAAATGAGTAAATTGAAATTCTCACACAGCTTGGGGCCCTATAAAAAGAGTTTGCTAGCTGGGCATGATGGCTCATACCTATAATCCCAGAACTTTGGGGCAGAACACAAGGTAGGAGTTTGAGACCAGCCTGGCCAATATGGTGAAACTCCGTCTCTACTAAAATACAAAATTTAGCCAGGTGTGGTGGCGCATGCCTATAATCCCAGCTACATAGAAAGCTGAGTCAGGAGAATCACTTCAACCCTGGATGTGAAGGTTGCAGTGAGCCAAGACCACGGCATTGTACTCCAGCCCTGGGTGACAGAGCAAGACTCTGGGGGCTGGCGGGGAGAAGGGGGAAGAAAAGAAAAAAAGAGTTTGCATAATTAGGCCAAAAGAGCATTATATTCAAGAGCCATGAATACATTCACACGTGTTTACTGAGCATCTCCATGCACCTGGGATTCTTCTAGATGCTCAGAATGGAGCAGCAGACAAAGGAGACAAAAATCCCTGCCTTCGTGGAACATGAATTCTATAGAGAGAAGAAATTTCTAAAGGAAAGAAGGCAATTTTAGCATCTGCTCTGCTCTGCTCTCTCAAAAAATAAGCAAGGAGTTCACAGGTGTGCCACTGGAGGTATATATCTCCAGGAAGAGTCCACAAACGCACAAGAGGTAGGAATAAGGAAGGTCACTAAAATTTGCTCATGATAGGGAAAACTGCAAACAAGCGTCACTAGAGAAAATACCTAAATCAAGGGGGTTATTTTATAGCGCTCAAGCACAGCGGTTTCGCGTGCGGCTCTGGGGCCAGAAGCCTAGGTTTTAATCTAGCTCTACCACTCCTTGGCCTTAATTTCTTTGTCTGTAACACAGGATTGGGGATTAGCAGCAGTACTTATCTCCCAGGTCTATTTGAGCATTACGTAAAAAATGTAATGCCTCTAGAATACTGGTTAGCACACAATAAGCACTTAATAAATGTTAGCTATATTTATTATTTTGTTGATAATGGAGTGCTATGTAGCAGTTAGAGAAAATGGACTAAGTCTATGTATCAACATGAATAGATCTAAAAACTGTAATGCTCCTTCATGTTTTAATTCAACAAATATTTATGGAGTGTCTATATGTTCCACACAGTGTTCTAGGTACTTGGGACTCATCAGTGAACAAAACAAAGATCCTGCCTTGTGGACCTTATGAGCCAGAGGTAGGGAAACAGATGTAACCTCTAAGGAAACAGTATGTTAATGTAGGTGGTGACAAGTGCTGTTGAAAGGGGAGAGAAAGCATGGTAAAGGTGTCTAACAATGCCAGAGTTAAGGCGGGCATTGGTTGGATTTTAAGCCGAAAAGTATGAGAAAATGTTCATGATTATGACCTCTAGGTGGTGGGTATGCAGCTGCTTGTTTTTTATTTCTTTCGTCTTTCTCTGTATTTACATTTTTTCTAAAAAATTCCTCTCTATGATATACAAGATTAAATAAAAACTCCTGTTAGGAGTCTGAAATACGAAGGGAGTTGGTCAAGAAGCAGGAAATTAGGCCGGGTGCAGTGGCTCATGCCTGTAATCCCAGCAGTTTGGGAGGCCAAGGCGGGCAGATCATGGGGTCCAGAGATCGAGATTATCCTGGCCAACACGGTGAAACCCCCGTCTCTACTAAAAATACAAAAATTAGCTGTGTGTGGTGGTGGGTGCCTGTCATCCCAGCTATTTGGGAAGCTGAGGCAGGAGAATCGCTTGAATCTGGGAGGTGGCTGCAGTGAGCCAAGATTGTGCCACTGCCCTCCAGCCTGGGCAACACAGTGAGAATCTGTCTCAAAAAAAAAAAAAAAAAAAAAAAGCACAAAATTAATAAGGAATTAAATGATATATAAAAGAATCTAAAGTAAGTGTTGGAGTTTTACAGTCTATTAGAGATAAGCAGAGTCACAATGCAGAAAATCAAACAATAATGTCAAAGACAAATGTGAAAATAAATATAGCCAAAAATAACCAGAGTAAATACAACCAAAGCAACAAGTAAAGATGTAATAGAACACATGTGACTTGAAGACTTAGAAGTGATAAAAAATAAATTCAGTATCTAGATATATCCTGGAAAGACTGTTGCAAAAGCTGTTGTTAACTACCCTTTCTTCTTTAGCAAGCCCACTTTGTAGGGTGTGGCAGTGCGCCCAACTATAAATTAGTTTTCAGGGCTCCCTTACCTCTTCCGCTGTGTGGAACATGCATGTGCAGGCTGGCGCTGCAGTGGCCACTGGGAGGCTGTCTGAAGAATGGAAGCCTTCTTACTAAAAAAGATGCTGGCGGCCGGGCGCAGTGGCTCAAGCCTGTAATCCCAGCACTTTGGGAGGCCAAGGCAGGTGGATCACAAGGTCAAGAGATCGAGACCATCCTGGTCAACATGGTGAAACCCCGTCTCTACTAAAAATACAAAAAAATTAGCTGGGCATGGTGGTGCGTGCCTGTAATCCCAGCTACTCAAGAGGCTGAGGCAGGAGAATTACCTGAACCCAGGAGGCGGATGTTGCGGTGAGCCGAGTTCGCGCCATTGCACTCCAGCCTGGGTAACAAGAGCGAAACTCCGTCTCAAAAAAAAAAAAAAGATGCTGGACTCTTGGGTCCATGTTGATCATGGGGTTGTGACACCAGCCCTGGATTCTATCTATGGATTTTTACGCACAAGATATATACATTTTACTTTTATTTAAGACACTGTTAGAAATCTGCTAACTGGGATTTCTGTTCAATGCATGTGAACCCACTTTGAACTGAAATCTAAATTCAAAATATTAATGTCTGTGGGAAAAAGCTTGTAGTTCAGTAATTCTCATCTAGCCTGTTGTCTTTCATACAAAGACAACAGAAAGGCTTTCTCAGATCCTCAAGAGCTCACAAAGTATAAAACATCCATGTGCCCTGGCTGAATAGAGCTGAGGTAAAGTTCTGGCAGCACCACATGCAAACGGTAGTAACTCACACCAATTTTTAAGCTCTTGAAGCCCTAATTTCTTTATCTGTAAATGAAGTAAAAGTAAAATGATTTACTTCATAAAATTGTTATAAAGGTTAAGGAGGGATAATATATGGCAAGCTCTTTGTTCACTGCTTAGTACTCTTTAAAAAAAATAATAAAATTTATTGGAACAACCAATCTTAGCCAATCATGAGGGGGAATCAAAAACAAGGAGGGGATATCCTTTTATTTGACATTATTTAGAAATGTCTCTCCAATAGAATAAGAGATGAAAATAAATGAGAAGTATAAATTTTATAAAGGAAAGATTCTTTAAATATAATCAAGAAAATAAGAAAATGTTGGAACAGAAGATAATGAAGATCTTACACATAAAGCTTAATGGAACAACACAGAAAGTCCAGCGACAGGCCCAGTAACAATAAGTCGTAGAAAATAATGAAAAGTATTTCAGGCCAGGCGCGGTGGCTCAAGCCTGTAATCCCAGCACTTTGGGAGGCTGAGGAGGGTGGATCACGAGGTCAAGAGATAGAGACCATCCTGGTCAACATGGTGAAACCCCGTCTCTACTAAAAATACAAAACATTAGCTGGGCATGGTGGTGCATGCCTGTAATCCCAGCTACTTAGGAGGTTGAGGCAGGAGAATTGCCTGAACCCAGGAGGCGGAGGTTGCGGTGAGCCGAGATCATGCCATTGTACTCCAGCCTGGGTAACAAGAGTGAAACTCTATCTCAAAAAAAAAAAAAAAGAAAAAGAAAAGAAAAGTATTTCAGAACAATGGAGAAAGGCTGCATTACTCAGTCAATGGTTTTGGGATGACCAGGTTACCAGTTAGAAAAAGATTAAGTTAGATACTAACCAGTGCCACGTACGAACATACAATTTTAGATGGATCAAAGAGAAAAATATAATAGAACATAGATCAATTTACATAATCTTGGGGTGGGAAAGACCATTCTAAATGTACCATCAAAAGCATAAATTCCAAAATAAAACATGAATACATGTGACTACACAAACTTTTAAAATTTAGACTTTTTTTTTTTTTTTTTTGAGATGAAGTCTTCCTCTGTCGCCCAGGTGAGCACCACCACTGCTGGCTAATTTTTGCATCCACCACCAAGCCTGGATAGTTTTTTTGTATTTTTAATAGAGACAGGTTTTCACCATGTTGGCCAGGCTGGTCTCAAACTCCTGACCTCAAGTGATCTGCCCACCTTGGCCTCCCAAAGAGCGGGGATTACAAGCAAGAGCCACTGTGCCTGGCTAAAATTTAGACTTTTATGTTAGAGATTATGACAAGCAAAATTAAAAAGCAATTTCTGCACATAATAAAAAATTGACATTCAGTAAGAAAGACAAACTTCCTAATAAGCAGGCGTTTTTCAGCAGACAAAGGACGTGAAAGTGCAGTTCACAAAAGAACATCTCTAAATGACCAACACACGTGAAATATTTAATCTTGCTGGTAATTAAAGAAGTAGAGGCAAACTAAATGCCTAACCCTAGACCATTGGTTAACCATTATATTATTAGTTAAGCATTACATTATGGCACATCCGTAGGAATAGGTATGCCATATCATTAAAAATCGTCATAGAAGAATATTTTATGAGGTGAGAAATATTTGCTATGAGAAAAAAAGCTTGATTAGGCTGGGCACGGTGGCTCACGCCTGTAATCCCAGCATTTTGGGAGGCCAAGTGGGTGAATCACCTGAGGTCAGGAGTTCAAGACCAGCCTGGTCAATATGGCAAAACACCATCTCTACTAAAAATACAAAAATTAGCTGGGCGTGTGTGGCACACGCCTGTAATCCTAGCTACTCAGGAGGCTGAGGCAGGAGAATCACTTGAACCCTGGAGGCAGAGGTTGCAGTGAGCTGAGTTTGTGCCACTTGGACTCCAGCCTGGGTGACAGAGTGAGATTCTGTCTCAAAAAAAAAAAAAAAAAAAAAAAGCTTGATGAAAACTTGGTCTACTCTACATGATGTTCCTATTCCTGTGATAAGAGATAAAATTAAAAGAAATTCTACATATATAAATACATATATACACATATTTCCAGTCTGGGAAAGAAGACCAAAATGTTAATAATTAATTGTAAATGGGGGAATATAGGAACCTCCCTCCTTTTTTGCACTTCTTTTTTTTGTGATCAGAGAAATAGATGTAAAGATTGCTGAGGGAAACGCTGGAAGACATGATCAGTTCTAAAACATGGGCTCACGGTTTTGTCCCACATATTAGTTAACATTACAAAGGAAGTAAGATACCTTTCCAGTAGATAGGTCTGGCTAACACCACCCTTTAGCCAAATGACCAAACTTAGCATCGAACCTAGCACGGTAGGACAGACTGTTAACTATGTGCAATCAGAAGTAAACAAACATCACCTCTGTACTTTGCTTCTAAAAACCGTTTAATCTGGATTTAATCACCAGGAAACAACCACACAAACTCAGAAGGTAGAATATTCTCATGCCAACTAGAGAAACCACAAGAGCATGAGGACAGTTCTAGATGAAAAGACGTTAACTGGACATAATAACCAAATGCAGTACTTGAAACTTATGAAAGATATTCTTGAGAGCACTGGGGAAATTTTAAAAATTTAAATTTAAAAATTCAACATTACGCTGGGAGTGGTGGCTCAGGCCTACAATCCCAGCACTTTGGGAGGCTGAGACTGGTGGATCACCTGAGGTCAGGAGTTTGAGACCAGCCTGACCAACATGGCAAAATTCCGTCTTCACTGAAAAAACAAAAATTTTCCCAAGCATGGTGGTGTGTGCCTATAATCCCAGTTTCTTGGGAGGCTGAGGCAAGATAATTGCTTGAAACCTGGAGGTGGAGGTTGCAATGAGCTGAGATCGTGCCACTGCACTCCAGCCTGGGCAACAGAGCGGGACTCCATCTCAAAATAAATAAATACATAAGAATAAATAAAATAAAAACCTAACATTAGCTCTTACGAATTAATGTTAATTTTTTAGATAGAATAATTGTATTATGGTTGTGCAGAGAATTGTTCTTATTCTTAAGAGATACTTGACAAAGAATTTAGGAATAAAGTATCATGATGTATGCAGTTTACTTTTTTTTTGAGACAGTTGAGACAGAGTTTCGCTCTGTCACTCAGGCTGGAGCTGGAGTGCAGTGGCATGGTCTCAGCTCACTGCAACTTCTGCCTCCTGGTTTCTAGTGATTCTCATGCCTCAGCCTCCC